GAGGACGGGGATGGCGGAGGTGGGCGCCGCGCTGTCCCTTGCCGCCGCCGTCCCGTCCCCCAGCGCTAGGGCTGGCGGTGTGATGTGGTGCCGCGGGACGGGCGAACCCGCTTCAGCGACCCCAGGGCGCAGGCACCGAGCAGCCCCCCGCAGGCCTCATGCGGGTGTTTATGCATCCGCACGTCTCCCCGAGAACCCGCTGCTTTCCGTCCTCGGCTTTCTGGAAGGGAGTCAGAGGAGGGTTGCAAAGGACTGCCGAATGTCCGGAACGAACAGGCAGAAAAATAATGTCTGCGTCTTCTTCAGCTGCCTCCCGCCACAGCGATGTCGGCTCCTGCTTCTGTGCTGAATTCACAGCACTTGCAGGCTCGATGTGCCTTCCCTGTAGCCGGGTAAGCGCTTACACAGGCCAGGCTTCACTCTGCCAGCGTTGTAACCACCTTCCCAGCAGCAACTGTTTTTTTAGTGTGGACAGTACGTTCTGGAAATAGCTGCAGTCAGGATCTTGCTCCTGGATGCAACCCTTCTAATGGCGGGGGTAGTGGCAGGCTGGATTTTAACGAAGGTTTGTTTCGGCACTGTTCCACCGAAGAGACTTTTGCTGTGAATTTCAGTAGGTACACGATCAGAGTCTTACGAAAGCACCTGGTAAAATGATAATTATTAGTTAGACGTGGTCCACAAATATCCTTTGTGCATAGCTTCAAAGGCCAGAAAAATCCCAGCGTTTCAAGAGCAATTGTACTGTCAAAATGGGGTTAGCAGCAGTAGAGATGAATGACGTAGGTTGGTAGTACAGGGCAATAGCAGTGGCATAAAATTTAACAGAGAAAAACTTGGACTGAGTAGCAGCAGATTGGCTTTGGTATCAATGCAGAAGTCATTTAATGGAGATGTGTTATTCAGATAATTTCAAACTCGAGTGGCCAAAGCACCAAACATATTCTCTAATCCTGCACTGACACATCAGGTAAGGGACATCTTCTTCCTCTTTGCTGCGGGAAGTGACCCATACAATGTAGAGGTATTCTCTGCAGCATATTACCTCAGCACTGACAGGGTGCAAAGCTACCATCATCTTTTAATTCTGTTTAGCCTGCAGTCCTGCAGAAGCAAATGTCTTCACTGGAAAGTCTGATGAACCTGAACACAAACAGTGGGTAGAGAGGAAGGTAATTTTCACCCCCCAATTCACAGTAAAGTCAACTATTGTACTTCAGCTATTGTACTAGAGCTGTTGTACCTTCTGAGAAGTCTTGTAGCCCACATATTTTAATAAAGATTTTTTTTTTTTTTTTTTTAAACACTGTTCTTTCGTTTCATTCTGATGGCACCCAGAAGCGAAGGAATGCAGTTTGTATCTAAATGTAGGTCTTTGAGGTTTTAATTTCCGTTATTCACTGAAGCTTAGCCAAGCAAACGAAGCTGACAAGGTTGAGCCACTGAAGTGCTTGCGGCCTAAGTCCTGGGCTGCAGCTCGTTCTGTTCGCCCACTGAGCAGGAGGCAGAGGTCACTCGCCATTCCTGGGGCTCGGGGTACCCGCAGCCAGCCCGCACGCTGCTGTGCTGCCCAGTCCTCCCAGAGCCCTTTATCTGAGCCGTCAAGTTTGAGCTGTAAGCCTTTGTTAGCCCCAGCACAAAAAGTACCTGGTCCTTCTGTGAGCAGGCAAAAAAGCAAACCAGCACGTAACCAATAGCCTCACAGATTACACACGCTTTACTCGGAAGTACTGATAAGTTTTAGCAGATTGCTGGTTTTTTACAGGTGCGCTGTGACCAGTCTGGTTTTCCTTACAGAGCACAACTTATTTATACTCCACAAAACCTTTAGTGGCACACACATGCAACAGTCATCCTTCATTCAGAAACTGCTTTGCCCCTAAAATTCAGGGAAGTGTTTGTTTTAGTAAATAAGTATGACACCCTCCCCCCATGTTTCAAGTGTAATTTCCATATGTTTATGTCACCGCTGCCGTATGTGCTCTTGGCCACCTGCCTCATTGCTGTTTCTCACTATGAAATTTCCTAGAAATGTTCAGATATTGTCAGTTGTTGGGACTACAATAAACCTTTAAGTGCCTTTGCTTGCTGGCTGGCACTTACGCAGATGCATAAATGGAGGAAGCTCTAAGTTTCTGGTAAGGCTGTAATAAATTTAATGCACATTTGCATGCCAAACCCCAAGGGGAACAAGAACTGGTCTCTTGAAATGCGAAAAGATCTCCACAGTGCTTGTCAGGAAAGTCTCTGTCCCAGTGTAGCCATAAAAATCACGAAGAGCGTGCTTTTTTGAATTGAAATGAAACCACAGTAATGGGCCTAATTTTAAGGAAGGTGCTGTGAGACTCTCACACACCACGGCTGGTCAGGATCTTCACCACTTCTTACACGAAGGACAGACAGCTAACAGCATCACTAAGCACTACGCTGGGGATTATTCATAAACCCGTCTATTAGTTATCATCTCTGTTGTTTTTTGCAGTGACTTCATTTGCAATACCAGCTGCTATGCCCCTTACCTCTACAGATGTGTATCAGAGGTAAGCCAGTGGCACTCTTAAAAAAAGAAATTGGCTCATTTTCTTGTGAGCTTTTCAGTTCACACTGCAAAATTCATTTTGGCATTTTTTGGCTTTTTGCCAGAGAATTGATGCATTGGTGCACTGACAAGAATGCAATAAGAAATCAAGCCCTAGAAGTGTAGCAAAAGAATTGTATTGTTGTGTAACTTTCATTAACAGGGAAAATGTGTGTGTATAGGGAGAGGGTACAGATGCCCGAAGGGCTTTATACTGAAAATCTGTTATGCTAAAAATGAAAAAGTCCTCGTTATAGTCAGAATTTCTCTGATTTTCTTGCGCAAATCTCTGCTGGTCTGAAAACATCACTGAAAAGACTGGCATTCACATTTTTTTATTTGCCTTTAAACAGTAAGAAACTAGAGAAATTTAGTCAAAACATCGAATGTGCTTTCCAGTTATTATAGATTGTCTAAACAGATGTGAATGCTTTCATTATCAGATTTGTGCGCTTTTAGTGAAGTTTCTGTTTCCAGGAGGTATAAGACGACCCATAAATATTAAATACCCAGGAAAAACATCCTGTTATGCAAATACAATCACTTTTGTTGTCAGTACCATACAGCAGCCTTAAGCCCTGGCACTCATGGGGCCACAGAGGCATTCCTTCACACCTCCCCTGCTCCATGAATACTGAACAAACTCCAGGCAAAAGGGACCCGCTTTAACAGGAGGATATGAAAGACCCTTGATGTCCTACAGCAAACAGAATCGGGGCTCTCCGTAATGCTCAGCCGCAGCAAGTGCTGTGGCCTGTCGCTCGAGCCAGCGCTGTATCTTTTAGTCTGAAAGAGCACTTCCTCCTTCAGCTGTGGTCTGAAAAGACTACAACTGCTATGGTTTTGCAAATAGAAAGGTTCCTGTTCCCAAAACATGGATTCTGGCTGTAAATCTTCATCTGGGGCCAGCCCCTCCCTTTAGCTGGGAGCTAAGTGTAATGAGGAGCCCCCAAGAAAGGCCGGTGCATCCAGGGAAGAGCTGATTATTCTGAACCCAAAGAATACGTCTGCCTGCACACTGCCTGGGAGAAGCTGGTTTGGGTTTTTGAATGCCACTGGGCTGCGGAATATCTCAATGTCCAGGCATTGAAATCTCCCCTTGTGAGTAACTTCCTTGACTAATTATGGTTTTCAGAAAGAAATTGGCAAATTCTTTTATGAAATTTATTTTTAAAATGATGTTGCCTACAGTCATTGCCAGTGTTGCAAAGCGTATCAAACCGGTGTGACTAGCTGTTGATTTTTTCAAGGAAATGACTAGGCTCTACACTCAAAACTAACCAAGTCTCTCTGCAATATTATATTTTAATGTAAAATGAACTGTATGAAACTGGCAGGGGTTTCATCACTAGGGAAGTGTTTTGAACATGACTCATGCCACCCAGTTGCATGACTTACATTTCCAAAAATTATTATTGTCGTGCATAAAGTTCCCCTCGACTATGGTTTCTAATTGCCAGAATAGGACATTTTCTGTATCAAAATAGGATGTTTCTGTACTAAATCAGGTACTCATTTTCAAAGCCAGTACAGCCCTCTGCCCCGAGTCCCATGGTTGTCTCAAACACCATGCACAGTTCCAGCAACACAGAGAAGAGAAAGAGAAGTTTTCCAGGTCTATCATAGGTATAGAAATTTATTTAAATGACCCCTTAAACAAAAAAAAGTATGACAACCTGTATACTCCACCTGTTTCACTTCACTTTGTAGCAATAGCGCTGACTGCTGAATGTCAGCAATACGTTTAGCAATGACTGGAACATAAAGGACAAGGTTTTCCAAACTGACAAGAGGTTTGGCATGGTTTGAGGCTTGATGCTCAACCTGAAACTCTTTAAGCAGAACTAATATCCAGAATACACAAAGTCCCTCAGTCTTGATTTGGGTGCGCAGAAATAGATACTTTGAAATTTTAGCTCTCCACCGTCCTTGTTTCATGAGATTTGTATTTTGCCAAAGACCAAGGAACTGTTCAAGGATCATGACAGGCACTTCATAAAGGCCATTTAACTTAAAAATATAATATAAAGGATTTTAATTTATACTCAGCTTAAGCTTTGAATAGGATCTATGTAAAATGTTGTATAATGTGCAGGGCTTCTTCCTGTCTTTGCCACATTGCTGACTTCACTATCTTGACCTTGCTATCAAGTGCTCAGTTGCTGTCCCTGCAGTCAGCTGTTGGCACAGGTAGAAGTCTGCAGCGTGGGTGGATGAACATTCATTTGCCACATTACAATGGGAAGCCATAATATTAATCTGTCTGGGATCACTGTTTTAAATTTTGAGATTGCAAACCTTTTCAAAGGTGAGTCATCCATCCATTCTCTCTTTTGGAAAAAGCTAAAAGAAGTGATTCTAGTATGCCATTAATGAGCCCTGTCAGTTAGACATTTACTACTTCTTTTTGGCCAAGCTTTTTCAAAGCAAACTGCTTGAAGAGCTCCTCTAGCCAAAAAACAATTAAATCTGAGGAGTGATTTAATCCTTCTTTCTCCCACAGTTCCATCACTTACACAAAGCATAAATAGCATAATGTTTTCTTGCCATGATGTACCAGGAAATGATGATGTTCTTTCTGAGGAAGAGGCAGGACACAGCAACGGAATCATTAATTGCATGCAGCAATTGTTCCATTCTTCCTTTGAGATGCCCAGAACAAGCAGAACAGTCTAGCTCCTCAAGGGCCAAGTTTTTAGTGGACTCGTCAGTCCAAGTCCTTGTGCCAAACCCTTGGTTCCAAGGAGACTCATAAACTGAGCATACATTGTGTTTGCCATTCTGGGATTAGCTGGCTCCTTACAAAGCAAAGAGGCAGTGGTGCACACACCCCAAAGCTGAGACGAGGGAGTTTCTAAGAAGACAAGCTGTTTTTACACACCAGGTCTATGCCTAATTTTCAAGCATAAATATACTCTGTCCAGTTGGGATTGAGAAGGGAAGAGGATCCAGATTTAAGCTGACAGCATGCATAAAATAGTGCAGACTACAGGGAATGGAGTGGTAAACTTATTAAAAATGTGTAGAGCAGATGGTGCATATGGCTGGAGAAGGAAGAGAGTAAATATCTGGAAAAGTGGAGGCATCCATAGTTTTTCAGGTGGAAAGGCATCCTGCTTCCCATTACAAAGACAAATTTACTATCTGCCTCAAATTTTCCTTGAGAATTTGGTCTTGCACTTGGTCATCGGGTGGGAGAGAGCTTGTGTAGGATGACAGGAGGAAGGACCTAGCAACTATTTAGGAGCTTTGTAGATGTTTTAGTTTTGCTCACTCTTAGACTTTTGCCAATATTTGTGGCTGTTTATTTGACATGGATCAGGCATTTGCCATAAACTCCATGACATGGAAGTTACCAAGCCTACCACCTTAAGTCCAAAACACACCAGGATGAAACAACATACAGGTCAGATCACAGAATCACAGAATCACAGAATAGTAGGGGTTGGAAGGGACCTCTGTGGGTCATCTAGTCCAACCGCCCTGCCGAAGCAGGGTCACCTACAGTAGGCTGCACAGGATCTTGTCCAGGCAGGTCTTGAATAACTCCAGAGAAGGAGACTCCACAACCTCCCTGGGCAGCCTGTTCCAGTGCTCCGTCACCCTCAGAGGGAAGAAGTTCTTCCTCATGTTCAGACGGAACTTCCTGTGCCTCAGTTTGTGCCCATTGCCCCTTGTCCTGTCACTGGGACACACTGCAAAGACATACACCATATGACACCATATGACACCATATGACAACCAGCATTGCCAATAAGATAAACTGTTCAGTTTCCTTTCTTATTAAGTGTTTATTCTTTTGAATAGTTGTACAATAACAGTAGGAAAAAATGCATCGAAAGCAGTGGCTTAATCTACATATAGCAGTCATAGACATTGTGAATTCATAAATACTCTCCAAGGTTAGTCAATCTTGATGCACCCCAGGATCTCATTGGCTTTCTTGGCAGCCAGGGCACACTGCTGGCTCATGGTTAACCTGTTGTCCACCAGGACACCCAGGTCCCTCTCCGCAGAGCTGCTCTCCAGCAGGTCCACCCCAAGCCTGTACTGGTGCAAGATGTCAGGATCTTTCAAAGGGCAGAGGAATGGTTTACCCTGAATATGGTAATAATGCCACTGCCCTGCAGCTGTATGCCGAAAATAGTCAACTTCTGTGGTATCAGGAGGAATCTTGAAATATATCCTGCAGATGAAGGACATCATACTATTGTACTACAATATACATGATGCCTGGGCTGGTACTGACAATGGTAATTATGCACAGTGTAAGTTCATGAATTACTTGAGTTTAGTTCTGTTAGTTTTTGAACAACTGTGTCTTCTACCATGGGAGATGAGTGCTACATCTGACTTGGCACTGTAACTGCAATGAAGTCATCCTCAGGGACTTCATGTGACATGCAGAGTTCCCAATAGACAATTCCAACAATTTCCCATTGTATTGCTCTTACGAATTATGTGAAACATGTTTGCTGGAGTCTTAAATCAGCCCAGCTCCCTACAGCTGACATATTGACACTGTCAGTCTATACTGGCATAAGTCTTGTGCAAGATTTCTCTTCTTGAGAAAGAACTATTTTAGGCTTTCTTGAGCCATTTAGGTTAGGCGTTTCAGGGCTTCTCTCTCCAGACTGTCTCCTCAAAAACAACATTTTAAATTCATAGCCCTGTTTCTAAAAATGTTTGTTCGAACTTTAGGAAAACCCAAAGGTTTTTGTTCTTAGTTGAGGCAATACTTAATTGGGGGAAGGGATCCCAAAAGATCTAGCAGGCAAAAATGACACTTTCACATTTTAGCTGGGATTTTTTTCAGAATAACTTTCAATTTTCATTTCAGTTTATCCTTACAAAAACACACAACTTCTTCAAATCTGTGTTTTTCTATGGACTATTTTCCAAGAGACTTTCTGGTAGAAAAGAGCCATAACCCAGCCACTAAGTTTTAGTATATTTGTGTGCTTGACAGACATTTGTAGACACATCCAAAGTGAGAAAGAGAATATTTACGGTGCCATCACTTCTGTAACTGCAGTTCATAAGTGATATCAAACAGCTTTAAATTAGCTTTAAAGTAACTCATTTGCAAAGTGCCAGTAATATAGCCAGGGTGGAAGACACCTCCATGCTGCCTGGGCACCGAGTGCTCAGCTTCCTGGGCAGATTTTACAATACTTATTGTTTGCAATTGTGGTTTATCAAATTTCAAGATAGCTCAGCAAGTCCACAGTTACAGCTCTGCTGTAGCTGCTTTAAAGATTTTCTTTCTCTCTGGAGGAAACACCCTACCACTGAAATCCTACCCCCATGGTGACCAGCGTAAGACATCTCATTTCCTGTGCTAACTACAGTCTCAGTCAAAGATTAAACTCATCATGTGGGACTGAATGAAAAAACAATGTTTGTGCAGGGGCTGAACTCCTTAAAAGACAAGTCTGTGGTATACAAAAGCATTAGGTGATACTAGATATCCTTGTGAGCAATAGACATGACCAACACCAACATACAGCTACAAGTCTTTCCCAGTTTGCACACTATAGACTGTGCAAGTCATACGGGGATGCTGGAGATGGAAGTTCCTGCCTTAAGCAAAAAGGTAAGAGGCACATCCAAGCTTGCCATCTGCACTCTGTTTCTCTCCTTTCCCTCATCTTCCCCCCGCCCCGAGAGAGCAGCAGGCACTGTGCCGTCTCCTCCTGTCCTGCAAGCGAGCTGGGATCTCCCACGCCATTACCTCATCCCGCCGGAGCGGCTTGAACTGATCCCCCCGAACAGCGCCTGGCTCCGTTCCTGCTGTCGCCCGCTTCCTGTGACCCTTCGAGGCTCAGATTCAAAACATTCGCTGCAGCAGCGATCTTTTGGCTCACTGCAGCGGGCCTTACAGAGCTCAAAGAGTCTGTTTTGTTCAGTCCAGCAAAGGTGGGGTTTTTAATTATTATCATTTTAGGGTTTTTTGCTTACTAGCCTTTTTTTATCCTTTATTTTTTTGGTCAGGCACTGGAATGTGTAAGTACAACACAAAAGTCAATAACATTATGTAAGCATATGCCTCTCATCCAGCCAGGGTGACCACTGCAGGCCAAACATAACAAACAGGCTCGATGTGTTTAGATCTAAATTTATTTAAACCAGAAAAGATTTGAGAAGCAATGTCTTTTTATTCCTTATTCCCTACAGAGTATATGCAGAACTCCATAAGCTGAAAATAAAATCCTGAAATGGAGAGCTTAATATATTTGAAAAGAGAAAGGTTAAAAATGCTTGTCTCTGATGACTCTTGCAAATAAACTCAGCTACCTAAATTTCCCCTGTAAAGAGTTCTTAGAAACGCATTGGGAGAGGCTAACAAGCCTGGTTTGATGTGGGTTTCATTTCTAGTCTTGCAGATGCGTGGGATTATAAATGAAAATCGTAGGCTTCGTTAGCCATACTGGCACGGCCCAGCAGGCTTCCCAGAAATGCTGCGTCTGTGGGTGACAGCTACCTTTACTGAGCATCACTTCGGCAGAAACCGAGTCTGATAAATTCCCTCCTGAAACATTTCATCCAGCACAGATCAATTTTGATAAACTGCAAAAGGTTTTCAGTTTTATTAGTAACCTACTGGGCCAACGGTTATGGAAACAATAATTTATGCTAGACACTCTCGGTGCATTTTTTCAATTCACTGATTGCATTGCAAGGGTATGACGTGCCTCACATTCTTTCCTAGCCACAGTGATTTCTGACCCAGAGCATGAGCTTCCCTTCTAGACAGCTGAGATGTCTGTATACTCTTCCTGATCCTCACTTAGGTATTTCATAGGTTATGCTGGACATGCGGACACAAGAAGCATTGTTTGCTGTTCAGCCGTCAAGATTAATAATTTGCCTGTACTGAAGTTTTGGCTGATCACTGTGAATGTGCTTTTAAACAGAGGGAGATTTTTCTGTCTCCATTTTTTTAATATAGAGGAAATGCTCACAAACACTTCACAGCTACAGGTCTACTGGCTTCCATTACCTACCCTTACGTTGAGGGGTTACATTCAAAGGAAACTTCAAACAATTTATGCTGCTGCAGTACTGTCCCATCAATAAAACCCCGTGACATGCACTGCAGACTGGCAACCTCCTGCTCGCAGCTGGGTGCAGGCAGAGGCCTTGCTGGCATGTTAGTGTCTGCTCTGCTGCAGATGGGAGGGCAGGGAGAAGAGTTACTTGTAACTGCAGAGGCCTGAGATGCCTATGAAACGTTTTGTGCATGTTTGTTGTGTGCATTTGTTGCTGGTGTGAATTACAGAAACACAACGGCGAAAATATTTTCTTCTCACTTTGAGGATAAGAGTACACGGTCCAGGCATAGTCGGTAATTTTACCTTTCAGCTGCCAAGTGTAATGCAGAATCTCAAGGCAGTGGTTTTGCATGTTTCTGTGATGTTGTCTGGCAGCACTGATAATTGTAACATTTTTAACAATTTTAAAGCACTGTAAGAAGAGAAAATCTTGCAGTGGTTTCGTTTGCGTGTTCCTCTTACCACATGTAGCTGTTTCGCTGGATGTGTTTCTTGGTTACCAGAGCAACAGTTTCAGATCTAGCATGATTACCTGTATCATAGCACTCATCAGAGATGTGGGCAAACTTTGGAAAGTTCTACATTGAGGAAGTGCTGCTAGTTGCTAGGAGGCAGGAGCTTTCAAAAGCTGTCTCAATGAAAACGCTGATATCACATGCTTAAGTCAACGGCTTAAAAAATGTCATTAAATGATCAGTTTGCTTAAAATATATTTTACTATAAACAAGAAAATAGCTGTTTCATCAATGAATTATCATAGTTTTATAGAGTGCTCATTCAGAGTAAACTAACATCTTTTCAAAAAAGGCTATCAATTGTTATTTAAAGCCAGTTATGCTGTTGAGCCATAACTGATACATGAAACAGCCGATCCCTGTATCCCAAAAACTGTTAAGAGTCCAGAGATGGACACTGGACTTCAACTCTGTTATTAATTTCCTTTGTTAATCAAATGAAATGTTCATTGAGATTTACAGGAATCCTATCCATCCTATATGCATGGAGCAGAGAAAGAATAAGCTGTCACAATATCCAGATTTCAGTAAGTCAGAGAGAAACAGTTGGGAAATTTCGCAGACATGTGGCTGCTTTGGGGTCACAAGACAAAGAGTGAGCAACTGCTTAGCCTGCCCCATGGCAGTGGCTGCATGTGTTAGCAAGATTTTCTGAGTGAAGTATGAACAATCGCTTTCACAGGGCTCATCCTCCCTCTGCAATCATTCAGCTTTTCTGTAAGAAGAAAGATATGAGTGGCCACAGATCTCGGCACTTCTCGGCCATTGTCCCAGCCTCAAATAAGCAGCATACCTTAAATACTATTATGTAAGGTCTCATCCAAAATAGTATGGTTATTATTATGCTGACTTTGCATTTATAAAGGGAAGAGCGCTAAAAGTAACTGTTCGCAGATTCCCTGTTTTCATTTTGGTCCTTCTCACAGCTGTCAGTTAATAATGAGAACCAGGTTAGGGCAGACACAGCTATGCAGAATTATAAAACTGACTACTGGCAGTGGTTTAAAAATGAGCACTAGGGAAATTTTGGTGTTTCCCATTCCTTGCAAGAAAAAGCCAGTAAAATCCCAACCCAGTTTATGAATGTCTTTGTTGCCAGAGCAGAGGCGTGTTGATCAGATTCTCCAGTTTACTACATTGGTGGAGGAGGTAGGTGGAGGATTTCCCCTGAGCAGGGAACTTTCTACTGCCATCAGGATAGCAAAGACATCTCTGCTGCTTTCTCCATCAGACTCCACCTTTTCCATGTGTGAATGGCAAGAACACCTTGGAGTCAGGGAAAGGAGAGGGAAAAACAGGGCTCAGCTATGTCTCTCTGTCTGATATAGGGAAATATTGCTCCTCTGTAGCTTTAATTGCTCCAGATAGTGGGCAGCTCCACATAAATTAACTGCTCCTGGCTGCCTACAGCTCCCACTCACCACAGTATCTAGCATTGCTGTGATGTGTAGGTTGCTGAAATAGTAATACAAGGAGCTCAAATTTATTCATCAGTTTTACTAGTTTAAGTAGACTCATAGAATAGTTTGGGTTGGAAGGGACCTTAAAGATCATCTACTTCCAACCCCCCAAGTGGTCTAAAAGCTGCCATTTTCTTTACCTTCACCTTGCATCTCTATGCTCAAGGGGTCCTACTGAAGTCTATCTACTTAGCTGCTAACAACCTTGCTCTTTGTAGCCACCTTCATCATCTTGAAACCTCTTCTTCGGGGTCTTCACCATCTTTGTCCCATGACTGTTTCCTCCAGCTGGCACATTCCCGGTTTTGTTGCGCCATGTGATTCAGCCACCTTCCTCAGTTCTCTGTCAGCCATCCATACAGGCAACTTGCCTCACCGCTGGCTGCAATGTACGCTGTTCTCCTCTGGTACCTCAGCTACTGACCTGCCTTTCAGAAATTCTAGAAGTACTTGTTTTAGTCACCTGCTTACTTCCATGGCTGACAAATAAAGCAGCAGCCCCAGGCTCTGATGAGGAAGATCCACAGGTGAATGACAGAACTGTTTTGAAAAAGCTGGCAAGGACCAATATTCTTACTCTGAAATTTTGTTTCTAATTCCAGATTTCCGCAGCTGATGCATCCCACATTCTGGAGAAGTGTGTTCAAAGGCAGCAGATTTCTCTCTTTTTTGCCCTCCAGTTTCATCTAAAAATTCGTTCTCCACTGAAAGGCAAGAGGTAGGAGCTACTATGACAGGCTGGATGAGGCAGCTTCTAAGGAAAAATAAATATTCCTCAAATCCACCTTGTTTTTGACAGGCTTCTAAGAGGCTCCACAAAAATATTATTAACTCAAGAAATTATTAGAGAAACATGTTCAGTTTTTTTTTTTGTTCATTTGGTTTTTTTTCTGTTGTTTTTTTTTTAATGTTTCATCTTCACTTTACAATATAAATCTACAAACTGAGGCATAGGTGAGTGATTACTTCTATGTGGTGGGTAACCTACATTACAGTGTGCAAGAAATTTACTCTGGTTGGTTTATATATATGTATGTAAATGCATCTGTCTAGCATTTATTTTAAAAACAAGCTACTTATAGTGGGCAACAGTGTGTTTGAGTTGCCTCTTCCTTTTCAATTTAGCAAAAGCAGTTTCGCAGTGTTTGGGCAAATTGGAACAGTTTCATCAGTTATTTCCTTCCTTCCTGTTCCACCAGTGCTGCAGGCTTTGAAATGACTTCTCAAAAACATCACGGCACGCTGAAATCATGAAATGCTCAGGCCCATCCGGCTGCCGAGGGCCATTCACAGCGGCTGCTCGGCTG